GGATCTTAACCTAATTAAACCATGAGGAATACAGGACTGAACTAGGACTGAATCAGGACTAATTTAAATTAAATTAACTCACAACATATCAACAAGAATATGAATATTTGCAAATGGCTAGCTACAATAATTAGACTCAAAGATAACAATAGAGACTTCTGATAAAAAATTCACTTATTTTTTTTTTTCTCAAATCTCTCCAGACCAAACCAGAAATATCCTGTTCCCTCCTATGGCTGTACCTCCACTTCACTGATCCAGCTTGTGTTTTGTGTTATTAAATTCATCCAAGTGCACTTCTTAAAAATAGGCTCATCTCTTCTTACGCTTTTCTCTGTTACACAGTCTTGGCAAACCTTTATATACAAAGGTCTGATCCACAAACTTGATCAAAAGAGTCTATTAAAAAAGCACGTTTGACTGAGGTCACATGTCGCTCAGAGGTGCAGTGGGTTTTACATGTAATGGTTCTTAAAAATATGAATTCTGACTTGCGAAGTAGGTTGCTTTCAGATTGAATTGAGCTCACTTACAAAAGCAGAGCACAGCTATCAGGGAAAGGTGGCAGAAGTGTAAGGTAATAGAAGAAAGAAGAACGACATGGGGGCAAGACGGGCAGCAGCAGGGAGCAGTAAGTGTATGGGCTTATATCTCGCAAATGGCAGGCCCTACACAAAGAAGAATTAGGTCCAATACATGAAAAGAGTCAGATATAGACTCATGTCCACTGGAATCATACAGACTGGATTCAGAAATTGTTAAGTATTTCATAAATGAGGATTTGTTTTTTAATTAAAATGCGAAGTTTCAATGCATTTACGTATAATTATATGACCAAAAAAGGGAAAACACTGGCGTATAACAACAAGCAAAGTTAAAATCATAAAATATAAAATAAACAACCTATTGAAAGTTTAATTAATTACAACTACAACTTAAGACATATATATATATATATATATATATATATATATATATATATATATATATATATATATATATATATATATATATATATATATATATATATATATACATATATATACATATATATATATATATATATATATATATATATATATATATATATATATATATATACATACATATACATATATATATATATATATATATATATATATATATATACATACATACATACATACATACATACATACATACATATCCATCCATCCATCCATTTTCGTCCGCTTATCCGGGGCCGGGTCGCGGGGGCAGCAGCCTAAGCAGGGACTCCCAGACTTCCTTCACCCCAGACACGTCCTCCAGCTCCTCCGGGGGGACCCCGAGGCGTTCCCAGGCCAGCCAAGAGACATAGTCCCTCCAGCGTGTCCTGGGTCTTCCCCGGGGCCTCCTCCCGGTGGGACATGCCCGGAACACCTCCCGAGGGAGGCGACCAGGAGGCATCCGGAACAGATGCCCGAGCCACCTCAACTGGCTCCTCTCGACGTGGAGGAGCAGCGGCTCTACTCCGAGCTCCTCCCGTGTGACTGAGCTCCTCACCCTATCTCTAAGGGAGCGCCCAGCCGCCTTGCGGAGGAAACTCATTTCGGGCGCTTATATCCGCGATCTCGTCCTTTCGGTCACTACCCAGAGCTCATGACCATAGGTGAGGGTAGGAACGAAGACTGACCGGTAAATCGAGAGCTTTGCCTTTCGACTCAGCTCCCTCTTCACCACAACGATCCGATACAGCGACCGCATCACTGCCGAAGCTGCACCGATCCGCCTGTCAATCTCACGTTCCGTCCTTCCCTCACTCGTGAACAAGACCCCGAGATACTTGAACTCCTCCACTTGAGGCAAAGACTCCCCACCCGGAAAGGGCAAGCCACCTTTTTCCGGTCGAGAACCATGGCCTCAGACTTAGAAGAGCTGATCTTCATCCCAGCCGCTTCACACTCGGCTGCAAACCGCCCCCAGTGCACATTGTAGGTCCTGGTTCGATGAAGCCAACAGAACAACATCGTCCGCAAACAGCAGAGATGAAATCCTGTGGTCCCCAAACCGGACCCCCTCCGGCCCCTGACTGTGCCTAGAAATTCTGTCCATAAATACAATGAACAGAACCGGTGACAAAGGGCAGCCCTGGCGGAGTCCAACATGCACCGGGAACAGGTCTGACTTACTGCCGGCAATGCGAACACAGCCCCTGCTCCGGTCGTACAGGGACCGGACAGCCCTTAGCAAAGGGCCCCGGACCCCATACTCCCAGAGCACCGCCCCCACAGGACACCACGAGGGACACGGTCGAATGCCTTCTCCAAGTCCACAAAGCACATGTGGACTGGTTGGGCAAACTCCAATGAACCCTCGAGCACCCGATGGAGAGTGTAGAGCTGGTCCAGTGTTCCACGGCCAGGACGAAAACCACACTGCTCTTCCTGAATCCGAGGTTCGACTATCGGCCGGATTCTCCTCTCCAGTACCCTGGCATAGACCTTACCGGGAAGGCTGAGAAGTGTGATCCCCCTATAGTTGGAACACACCCTCCGGTCCCCCTTCTTATACAGAGGGACCACCACCCCGGTTTGCCAGTCCAGAGGTACTTTCCCCGACTGCCATGCGATGTTGAAGAGGCGTGTCAGCCAAGACAGCTCCACAACATCCAGAGACTTAAGGTACTCAGGACGGATCTCATCCAACCCCGGAGCCTTGACACCAAGGAGCTTGCCAATCACCTCTTTGAGGCCGTCCGATAGTCCTTCTCCATGGCCTCCCCGAACTCCTCCCAGCTCCGAGTTTTTGCCTCCTCGACCACACGGGCTGCAGTACGCTTGGCCCGCCGGTACCCGTCAGCTGCCTCAGGAGTCCCCCGAGCCAGCAAGGCCTGATAGGACTCCTTCTTCAGCTTGACAGCATCCCTTACTTCCGGTGTCCACTACCGGGTTCTGGGGTTGCCGCAGCGACAGGCACCCCAGACCTTACGCCCACAGCTCCGAGCAGCTGCATTGACAATAGAGGCCGAGAATGAAGCCCACTCGGACTCCATATCTCCGGCCTCCCCCGGAATCCGGGAGAAGTCCTCCCGGAGGTGCGAGTTGAAAGTCCCTCTGACAGAGGGCTCCGCCAGACGTTCCCAGCAGACCCTCACTACACGCTTGGGCCTGCCAGGTCTTTCCGGCTTCCTCCTCCGCCAGCGAACCCAACTCACAACCAGGTGGTGATCAGTTGACAGCTCAGCCCCTCTCTTCACCCGAGTGTCCAAGACACGCGGCCGGAGGTCAGATGACACGACTACAAAGTCGATCATCGACCTTCGGCCTAGGGTGTCCTGGTGCCACGTGCACTTATGGACACCCTGTGCTCGAACATGGTGTTCGTGATGGACAAACTGTGACTAGCACAGAAGTCCAATAACAAAACACCACTCGGGTTCAGATCAGGGAGGCCGTTCCTCCCAATCACCCCTCTCCAAGTGTCACTGTCGTTGCCCACGTGGGCGTTGAAGTCCCCCAGGAGAACAATGGAGTCCCCGGTCGGTGCACTGTCTAGTACCCCTCCCAAGGACTCCAAGAAGGCCGGGTACTCAGCACTGCTGTTCGGCCCGTAGGCCGACACCACAGTGAGAGACCTGTCCCCGACCCGAAGGCACAGGGACGCGACCCTCTCGTTCACCGGGGTGAACTCCAACACACAGCGGCTGAGCTGTGGGGCAATGAGCAGGCCCACACCAGCCCGCCGCCGCTCCCCGCGGACGACGCCAGAGAAATGGAGAGTCCAGCCCCTCTCAAGGAGTTGGGTTCCAGAGCCCAAACTGTGCGTGGAGGTGAGGCCGACTATATCTAGTCGGTAACGCTCAACCTCCCGCACAAGCTCAGGCTCCTTCCCGCCCAGCGAGGTGACATTCCATGTCCCCAGAGCTAGTCTCCATGTCCGGAGATCTGGTCGCCGAGGCCCCCGCCGTCGACTGCTGCCCAGATCTCTCTGCACCGGCCCCATATGGATCCTCCCGCGGGTGGTGGGCCCACGTGAGGACGGCCCCACGTCGCTCCTTCGGGCTGAGCCCGGCCGGGCCCCGTGGGGGGAGGCTCGGCCACCAGCACCCACCCCAGGCATATACATATATACATATATACATATATATATATATACATATATATATATATATATATATATATATATATACATATATATATATATATATATATATATATATATATATATATATATATATATATATATATATACATATATATATATATACATATATATATATATATATATATATATATATATATATACATATATATATATATATATATATATATATATATATATATGTATATATGTATATATATATATATATACACATATATACATATATATATATACACACATATATACATATATATATAATAATGGATACTATATATATATGATATATATATGATATATATATATATATATATATATATATATATATATATGTATATATATATATATGTATATATATATATATATATATATATATATATATATATATATATATATATATATATGTATATATATAGTATCCATTTTATTTGTGTACTTTTTATCATGTTGTCAGTGACATCCACCCACAGCTCCCTGTTCACTGCCTTATCTTTAAATATGTATGCAGCTAAGCATGACTCAGCAAAAACCTCAGAGATTAAACTGGACAGGAATTAGTGACGCTAACAGTGAGGTTGCTGGGCGCTGCTGTGCACAGAGCCTATTGGCTCTAATGGATCAACAGCATTCAATGGTAAAGCAAAATCATCATGTTTCTTAGCCCACAATGAACATGGGAATTTCTAATTGCATCTTTGTGACCACAATTGCAGAGTGCTTTGTGGATTTACCCTCATTAACGGTTCTAAAGACAGTTTGAAATGCCAAAACAAACATGGCACTGGTTTAGACAGATCACCACTAACCACCATTTTTTCATGACACCCTCAGACCATCCTTGCAATTATGCTACGGGTTTAAAAAAACAAAACAACACTTACCAATGTATTCAAACACGAAGACTACGAAGAAAGGCGTGACCAGGTCGTTGATGCCCTGAACGTATCCACTGGCCGGGTGTCGAATTGCCCAGATAAATAATATCCTTTCAAAAATCTTTAATGAAAAAAATAAAAAAAACACAAGGTCAGAGTGGTTAAGTTAGGTTAAATATGCATGCAAATACAGTAAGCAGCTCCAAATACAAGAGACCACTGTAAACTACTGGTAAATCATCATTATCCCTCTCTAATAGTTTTGTGGGATTTTGGAAGAAATATTGTGAGAAAAAATAAGGCGTTTGCTTCACTTGGTTAGCCCTACAGAAGAAAACAATTATTTAGCAATGGTCTGTTATTCTTTAGAGCTGCAAGTCCATACTGCATCTAAACCAAATTTCTCCAGAAAGTATAATTACAGTTTTCTCAATACATTAACAACCATTTTTAGAGGCAATTTATGCTCACTAATTGCAAGTTCAAATTACAGCTTTTGATGTAGGTGTTTAAATATGTGAGGTGTGTAAATCAGTGGTATAAATTACAGTAAATTGAGGCATGCCAGGCTGGTGCAGAGAAAGCAGAAAAACATGCAGTTGTGTTTGCAGTGGGTCAGGCATGAAAATATGCTATGGCTTTGCATAACATTTTAATGTTATGTTCAACAGAATGTTCTACAAGTTCAGTCAGAAATGAGCACTTCAGTTTTTATTTTTTGTGTCAAATTTTCAAAGTTATCCTAAGACAACATAAGCACGGCAGCATTGTTAAGCTTGTATTAAAAATTGAAAAGCAGAAGGGACAAACTGAGCACTTTGCTGTGGAGAAGCACAATGACTTGACCTTTTGAGCACTACATACATTTCATTTTCTGGTAATAATAGTATCTACATTTGACAGTCTGTTTTAAATAATATTCATCCAGAATTACCATGACAAACTTTTGGTAGGTACAAGAAAACTAACTTCTCTGTAGGCCTGTCATGATAACAGATTTTGAAGTTCAACAGAAAATATAGGAGATAGACAATAATATTGAAAGTGATTTTTGCCACTGACACAGTAACTCAAGAGCAGATTTAAACCACAAAAACTATTCTAAATCTACAATATTGTTAAAAAAACAAGCTGCAATAAGTATACAGCAGAAGAATTATTCAATCTTCTACAGCTCAAATCTCTTCATATAACCAAAAAAATAATTAACTATACTTTGCCAAGTAATGTACAGAAAATGTATACATGCTAAATACTGTCCCCAAAAAAGTATTGTCCTACCTTTCTGTAACTAAAGTCATCCCACAACTTTTTCAAATTTACAAATCTAATTCCTGTCTCCAGATTGCCATTGTTGGACATTTGCAAAGTTGAATATGTATCACATTTGATTCACAGTGTTCCTGTGACACTCAATCAAATTATGCATCCCTCTGTTGTTTTAAACACTGATCTACAGAGAATGAACACTGCATGTTTTCAGTTTGTATATGCTTTTCCTTTCCTACAACAACCATTTTTTCTTACACAAATGCGTTTAAAGCACTTATTGTTTTTTTCATGTTTTATTTTGATTATTCACACAGGCAGAATCTACACTCAACATTGTGGAATAAAGATTTTGTTTTTTTCTGTTAATGTTGCTTCCTCAGAATCTAGCACCTCACCTCAGTTCCTACGCTGTGTTTTATCTACACAAAAAAGGTCTCTTTGAACTTTGTTTTTTGGCTTTGGTGCTGGTCTCCTGCATCTTCTCGTCTATTTTCTTCCATCTGAGTTTGTCTCTGTGCAATGCTCCTTCCTCCAAGTCACACCTCTCCCTCTCCTCCTCTCTTCATTTTTTCTCTATAAATTCTTCCTTTGTTTTTCTTCCCAGTTGAAAAATTCCACCTTTGTTGCACACAACCGTCAATATTGTTGAACAAATTGGGTGGGTGACAAAAATTACAATTCAAGTTTACCATATTTCTCTATATTTCTTTTATTATAGATATTCTAATTGTGCAACATATGAATATGTTTAATATATATTATCTCAGTACATCAACATCCCTCACTGCCCAGTGTACTGTATTCCACAATATATTTCACATCCTCACCTCAGCCCGACAGTAGTCATATTGTCATGGTTAAGGGCTACTTACTTACCTATACCTATCTGTAATACACTCATATACACTCACACCATAGCTATTATATTGTATTATTTATCACAGTAAAACCATCTTCCCATCACATCTCTAACAGCCTAAATCCCATTGAAAACCCTCTTTTGACAGGAATATTTTTGGCAAGCTAGTACACATACCTATTCATTTTTTATTTTAACTAATTTGATCAATGTTTGCAGGAGGGACAATATGGCCATACGGTATTTCACTCTAGCTCTCCTTACACCTTTACCTGCCTCCACATCTTGCACCTCTTCTCTCCTTATCAAAGCCCTATCCATCAAACACACAGAGCTGCTGGTGCTGCACTGAGAGCGGCTAATGGGACTTTCTTTCCACTCCAATCTCAAAAGCTGACATGAATATTTCACATGGGCACAGAGCCACACACAGAGAAATCCCACCCAAAACCTACTTAGGTGCTCAATATTACCATATTCATTTCTATTACTACAATTATAATTAGAACAATTGCTACTATTTGAAGTGCCATTTGTTTACCATAAATTGCAACTGTAATAAAGTTTGAAAAATACTTATGCTGGTCAACTGTAATTGTTGACATTAAAACAGAAAGAAAATTATAGAATGGATTATAGTGATGAGCATAGTTCAATTTTATGAAGTACCAAAGTGTTCTGGTGCTTCTTCAGTTTTGCAAAGTCTTATCTTGTGTTATGTTTACATAAAAGCTAAAGATGGCTTCAGTGTGTACTGTAATAAAGGGCCTGATTGAACCAAGTCATGTGCAGCCGTTGGTAGTTGTGTAAATTGTGTTAATCTTACACTAATTTCATGTTCTTCTCATAATGTGCTTCATCTGCCAGAGAGGAAATCTGTTTTGCCATATCTCTAGAGTCATAGAGCTCCGGTTCAGTTCCATTAAACCCGAGCCCCCAGGATTGCAATATAGTCTGTATCATAGCTTTGAAAGAAATTCAATACAACAAAATGGTTTTCATGTCATCATAAGACAAAGTAAGACTTACTCCATTAGTTTCTGCTCTCAGAGGAGGCACTCTGACATCAGCACTTTCTTTCTTTAATTAATATATGTGTCACTATACTATTTCAAAATGACTGATTTCAGGCCATGTCTGTCCATATGTTAGAACCATATTTTGCCTGTAATATAGTTTTTTTTTGCTAATAGATGGTGTGATGAGTAGTTGTAACACTTATATGACTGAATTACAAATGGGTTTTGCCACTGGAGTATGTCATTTTGTGTGATGAATGCTCACTTCAAGCCAAAACAAGTATCAATCAGTGGTACCATGTGTTGAACATTGATCACATTTTTAAATATCCACTTGTGCCAAGTTGCCAGTGTCCCTGCTAATTATGCACTTTTAATTTGTGTTGAAGTGTAAAAAAATGAATTTGAATTTCTGGACTAGCTAATTGCTTTTGAGTTTTCAGCAATTACAACTACAGGTGGTTTCCCATTTGGCTCTAAAACTTATAATTGGATGATTATCAAAAATCTTCAAAACAGTATTGTTCAAAAAAAATATAGGATACCACTAGGAAATAGCAGCAAAATTGCTTTAGCGTTCCTCTATTTTGCGAATGGAGCAGACTGTTGACTGGCTTCCATCTCCACTAAATCTTTTGGAGCCCCCAGAGTGCGGCGCAGAGACAAACAATTGAATGTAATGAAGCAGAGGTGATTTTCAGGTGGTGGCGCAGCAAGCATAACCGTATAAAAGAGACGGAGAGAGTGTGCTTTTGGAGTCTGTTGCATACAAAATATATGCGGAGAACGCAGCCTGAATATTTCAGTTGAGGCTAGAGATTGTCTGTGTGCACGCAAAAGGGGCAGAGTCGAAGAGCAGAAAGGAGATATGACTTTTGGGAGTATGAAAGAGGGGACAAGAGGTAAAAGGGTGTCTTACAATGCAAGTATACAGTATAAGTGTGATTGTAAGAAAATGTACAGAAATAAACCAAACTCTCACAAGCTTGAGCTATAGTCTGCAAGGGCACAATTTAGCAAGTAGGGCTGTGTAAAATTATTGCAAGTAGATAGTGAAACCATTTCTGGTGATACAGTATTAAGTGGGCTGTTCAATATCAATATAAGGCCATGAATATGTTTAGATAAATTTTACAAAAACATTTTGTAACAGTATATTTTTGTTGCATGTTTACATTTGACACATTCACTGTTTTGATTATTAAAATGAAAGTATCAAGTTTGTGCGGGTGTTGGTTTAAGAAAGAAATACTGTTAAAATCTACTTTGCACAAATTGTGATAGATCCCAGAGATAGATCCCCATAGATCATGTGTAATATACTGATGAATGTATCACTGTATCATCTATCACATCGAATTTTTTACATTTGATTTGGAAGTAAACTACACATGTAAAATATCCTTGTTATTGGTGTGCTCAAGTTGTCCACTTGAGTTTTTTTCTAAGCATTAAATCAAAAGGAAATCACAAAGTAGTGGAAGTATAAGCTTTTTAAATTATAGTGCAAATCATACTGTCTATGCATGTAGAAAAAGCAGTTTTCTGATAAAATAATGAATCATTTCCATTATTTTGCCAAGGAAACTCAATCATATCTGAAAAAGTCTCAATGTGTAGAGAAGTAGTCTTCACCTGCATGTCATTCTTAATATGCAATTCCCTTAAGTTTCAGCTGATGGCCATGAGCTCTATTGTACACAGTGTAGCGCCAACATGAGGCGGCATGGCCAGGGTGTTGAGCGTATGATGTAGTCAGAGTCCACACAACAATGCCTGTTTTGTTAGCCTTAATAAATGTTACATAAGTTTTCAGCTTCTTCCTGTGGGTAAAATGTCTGGCCCTATAGCTGTGCAGTGTAGGTGTATATCCACAGCACCACACTGTCCGCCTCGTTAGCCTGAACCTCATTATGAGATCTGTATTTTCACTTCACATCTTGTCAGGCCACCAACTGGTGTGTCTGGCAAAGCCGTCCCCAAGTGTAAATAAGAAAGTTCAGCTTAACCCTCCAGACCTGCATAGAATCATGTTAATTTCTATGTAAAATCGTAATGAGGAGCTGTCCAGGCAGACCCTTAAGTCTTATTTATACAAAAGATACACCATGTGCACACTGCAGTAGAATCCTAAGCAACTCTGAGCACCTCTGCACACAACAGATTTAAGGAACCTGGAATTCTAGATCAGGGACTTAATGGTCCAAGCACCCAGATGTGCTTAAATGGCCCAGTTTTCCTAATACTAGCCTGTACATTTAAATGTTGTTTAGTAGGTTACTTAAAAATATTGGGCCTCATTCATGAAACATTTTTACGAACAAGTTTGTACTTATGACCTTCTTACGAACAATTTCTGCATTCACAACATGTTTTCTTAACTGAAAATGTTCTTCTGTAAGAACAAATACAACAAAAAGAACAAAAATTCTACCGTTTTAGAATATTATTACTATTAAAAAAATTCAAATTCCTCCATGATGGTAAGTTATATATTTTCTTAAAAGATTTCCTATAAACATATTACTATGTGATCCAATTACATTTATGATGCATTTTATAGAGCATGTGGAATGTTGGGTCTAACAAACTTTATACAGGCTGCAGTGAGCCTCAGTGCTCTCCATATGGGCCACTGTTACAGCCCTGCGCCTGGATATCGTGCTGGACTCATCACCCCATCATGCCCTCCTGACACCCCAACACCCCCCTGACCCCCATGACCAGAGCGCACTCTTATGCACTCCCACCCCAGAACCCTTCCCTTGCTATTTATTTCTGCGATCGCGGACAGCGCGATAAATATGATAAATGTGTCCGCTTATTGAAATAAGTTTATGACTTAAATATTTCCTCACTGACTGTGTTCTTGTAAGTTTGGACATTTGAAATCACAGCTGAAGCTGTAAAACCTCGTACACTCTCTGCCTCGCACTTTCATGCGTCAGAATGCCAAGCCCATAATGCCATATATGGAAGTTCAGAGGGCATTTCTAACCAAATACATAGTAATTTTCTATGTAAATAAAATGTAAATGAGTGCAGAGGTGTTCGTAGCTGGATGTTGGTGAATTAGGGGCAACTGTCATTTAAGGAATTTGGGAGCTTAAGAATGCTTTGTGAATCTAACACACAGTTCTCTCGGCATTTTCTCAAAGTGAAAGTTAGGAAATATTTTTAAGAAAAGATTCATGACTGGGGCCCAGTGAGTAGTATCTGTTAGGTGTATTGCTCATCCATGCAAACCATGCAGTGCATTGCAGATATAAGTATCGCCTATTCTAAAGTAAACAACAAAAAAAAGTAAAAATGTATTTCTAAAGGAACCCTCATTCATATCACTGAAGTGTAAAACAATACTGAATTTGACTACACAGCACTAGTATATGGGCGTAGCATTTTTAGTAGTCGCATAGCCATGCGTAATGAGACAGCATACTGTAATATAAAATACTTTTCCTGAAGTGTGCTTATGTATTTCAAAGTTATTTTATACTTTTTTTTTTTTTTTACTGCTCATGCATCTAGGCTCTAGGTCTTATGAAGCTACTTTTTGATGTGCCCAGAAGACGTAGGGGGGAGACCCCCCCGCTGAGGTGTGCATGAGGTGTGGGTGTATGGGCAGGGGGCAGCAGTGGTTTGGATCTGGTCTCACCTCTTGAACAGAAGCTTGTTGAAAGAGAGGAATAAGAGGATTAGTTCTCGGTATGTCAATGTGAATCTGCAGAGAGAGAAAGAGAAAAGACAACACTGAAGCAACGGGCAGTTTTAGATTAGCACAGATTCTTGCAGCCATTACATGGACAGACATAAGAAGGCTACAGTTAGTGCATTGGTTCCTGATTGGACTGCAGGCAGATGGAGGTGGGAATAGCTTTGTCTGAAATGGATCATTCCAGTGGTCCTCCTTCTGCTTCCCTGTGACAGCATGTGATGAAGAGTGTGCAAGTTAGACCACCTTGACACCATTTCAGACTTCCAGCACCATACATAAACGATATGACAGGAGACAGATTTGTCAAAAAGATTCAGACGGATGCAGGACAGCGGCTGGGAGTCAAGCCAGACATAAAGTCCTGGTTTGTAGGTGTGTTGTTGAGTGTGCCTCTTGCTGCGGTTACTGAGGGGCCATAGATGGGATGGCACCGCTATGACCGCCTTACCTCCGTCACCTTTGGTTGCAGTACCAAATGCTCTGGGCTCATCCTAGGAATGTCTATGTGGATCTGACATGGGAGAAAAACAGGTCACAATAAAAAAAATAAAAAAATACATGAAGCTCTGTCTTCTCGTTTTCTTCTTTATAAAAGATATAAGAATATGAAAGAAGAGGTATATAACTTTTTCTAGCATATATGTATTGTATATATAAACAGTTAACTATTCAAATTAGAAGCTTAACATAAAGGAAAGTCTGGAAAAGGAAAAACTGTCTCTACAGCATCAGTTTACACCACAAGTTGACTTTCACCAAATATGCACTACATGTGTTCCCACAACTTAACTGTGAATCTCTGAACACATACGCTCCCTCACAATCTTTTGGGACAGAGCCGAAATCTTACTTCAATCAGTCCCTTATGCACACTAGTGTTTCTAAAATGCCTCCTCCATATGTATTTAAACAATCAAGCTGTTCAAGCGAGTTCCAATAAATATAAACAAATATGTAAAGATGGAAACAGATGGACAGGCACAAGTCACAAAGACAGAGCAGCTGACTGTATCCCATATGAACACCATCAAACAGAGTGTAGACAGTGTAATGGGACTTCATCTAGTGGAACAGGAGAATTGCTGTTCAATCCAGTCTGATTAATACAGTACATTATCTCTACACAAGATAGTTCAAAAAGATTCATAATGGAACTTTTCCGGTAGAGGGTCCCATGCATTTTCTTTGCCTGGAATGTTCCATATTCAAATTTATCATTATTCATTGGGTTGGTCACAGATCTGGGCAAAAACTTCTCCAAGGAGACAAGCAGGTAGCAGACAATCCACCGGAAAAAAGTGGTTCACTCTTGTTTTACTCATATGTCCTGGTTCGGTACTGCTGTATTTATTTCAATTAATTATTAGTATAAATTAAACTATTAGACATACACAAAGTTTGAGAACCCCTGTAGGAGAAAAAAATATTTCATATTAAGCCTACACAGAATATTTTCTCAACTCTCAAGCAATCATTTGCAAGCAGTCCAAACACACTTTACAACAGAAAGAAAATCACACAAAATAGGTGTTTACAACAAATTTACAAGACAAAAAAATGCCAAAAGAAGGGTCCTTTAAAAATGTTTCCTACTCTCATCAAACAAAGTACTCTAGATTTTTGGCAGAGCTGCAAGGGAGATCAACGTGAAATTGGACTTGATGTGAATAAATACTAGAATTTTCTATTGATGTCGCACTTTGATGTTCCTTATCAACTTGGGTGGAAAGTAGTTGAAGATGTATAGGTAGGGAGACTGTAATTTAAGCACACAACAGTTTTGTGTAATCTTCTCTGGATGGTCCATTCCTGCCACAATATGCTTTTTATCATATTCACACAAAATGGCTATATCCTGTATTTTAGCTGTAAGAATACATTAGTGAGAGGAAGAAGCTATTGCATATGCAAATGAGTGGCTATACCTGTCTATATGTGTCCTGGTGGTGCTCATCATTGCGGGAGTCGTAGTATTGCTGGATGAAGCCAAAATATTCTTGTCTTTTCCGTTGTAGTACACTCTCTCTTCTCTCTGCATTGGCTGGCAGGTATCCCTATGAACAAAGAAAAGCAAAGAAAGAATGACACTGAGAGCAAAACTATAGACTAACTGTTAACTAGATTTTTTTTTAAATATTTTTGACATTAAAAATGTGATTGAAACAAAAACATGTGAAGCAGCTACACATGTGTTGTAAACATGTATAGGCACACTAGACCCGGCAGTAAAGCAATTGAAGTATATACAAAATTCTAAAATGTCCATCTCTACAGCTCAAAACAATTGCTCCTCCCTCACTAATCATGTCATAATCCAAGAGGTTCCTCCATGTAAGTTAATGCAATTTAAAAAGACAGAATTATAATATTCAACCTTTAAACTGGGGTAAATTATTTTCCAGTCATTACATGTGATTCTTTGGCAAGCAATTTTTTTGCAATAGCCAACATGATCACATCCCAAAGTGTACAGGGAGACTGAATTTCAGAATAATTTATTATGTATAAACGAAATATAAGCCCTGGCAGACTTCAGTCTAATATACCTGTCTGCTAACACACTGACATATGCATGCTATTCACATGAGACTCATTAATACAGTTCTGTTGGTATTAACAAAGACAGCCTTTGAGATGCTCCAAGCTGAGGGTGTTTAACAGCATGAACTCTCTACTCTTTTACTTCTTTATCTGTCAATGTGCACCACCTAATGAGCCTTTCATACAACCTACTTCTTCTTAAACCCATACTTTGAGTTTGACACAAAACCAAATAAAAAAAAAAATCAAATATCTTACAAAAAGGAGAATGTTGATGCAAGCTACATCAAATCACACTGGCTCTTCATTTAAAATTAAGGATTTTTTTGTTAGATCACAGCCTGTTTTCTCTGATATTTTGGGTCCATTCTCAGGGAACTTGTATGTAAAAGGACCCCTTGAAGTGCTTACCTTCATCTTTATTTAACAATATAAAGACTTTTTAGTAAAGAAAATGTATATAATTGTTAGAACTAGTTATAACTGTGAAAATACTTTTCATTTGGGCTGTATTATTTTAAAGACTAGCTTAAAATTTTCTCAGCTAACCAAAGTCTCCCAGCAAGGGGCTGACAGACTTCACTTTGACCAAATGTTGTGCCTCCAAGGAGAAGCTACCTTTTTCCATGTTTGTCTTGGAGTAATGGTAATTTGTGTTGCAGCACTGAAGGGACTGTTTGTCAGGCCTGTTTTTAAGTGAGCACAAGTTGGTAAGAGTGTATCCGATGTTCGGTCAGGCTTATGCAATGATGAGAAGTAAGATTGGTGACAACAGTGAACAAATGTAAAGCCTATTAAAGCAAGCTCTGCGACCACAGGCTCTGAAATATTCACAGTTGGAGTCTTTTGAGGATGACTCCGATGTAGCCGCTAACACTAGAATAAAAACTTAAAGACTTATTTTTAAAACATTGAGCAATATAAAGTTGGGGTTACTGCAGTTTTAGGATATGATTAAAGACCAACTGATTATGATAATGAGATGAGAGAATCTTAGAAGGAAACTTCTATAGCACTTATTTCATATTTAATTTAGTTTCATTTTATATTTTTAACTTCTTTAAAAGTTTTACAAAGGGTGCATCAATATATATGATTACAAAGAGACCTCTGCCAAGATATTGGTCCAATTGTGCAAAGAGATCAAGGGCCAAGAAAAGCCAAGCCAGTTTGTCAGCCCTTAGCGCACTGCCAGCTCTTGTACAACAGATTTCCATGGCAATCGTAATTTAACAAACACACTTTTGACAGCCTGTAGTGCATGGCCATATATCTTAATATAACTTATAATTTCAAAAGCTGGTAAAAGCTGTTCAGTGTGGTTGTAACCTTGTGCAATATTCCCAGAGGTCAGCTAAGAGCAGAGCCGAGAGTGCTTTCAGTAAACGGAGATGTTCTAGCACTCTTCATTAATCCTCCTCCTCCACTTTTATTTGTCAATACTGTGAAGTTAAAGCCAGCGTTTGTCTGGGGACGGATCTGGCGACTGTTCAGTCACATGTGAAAGCAACTCAGTCTTGGACAAGCTTTACTGAAATGGCCATCAAACAAACTCTTTGTGACAAAAAGCTAACCAGACAAAAGCATTGAATTAAGTGTGTCTACTGTTGTCTAACGCTGTTTTTGTAGAGTTGCTTTGCAGTGGAGCTAAAACACACACATGTACCTCTCTCATGCACCCTCAAGTATCCCTTCACTCCAGTGAGCAAAAGTTAGATTTTATTGGCCATCCCAGGAGTTGGCTTATTCAAGACACAGATTTGGAGCAAAAAAGATGTATCAAAACCAAACAGCAACAAAAATGTATTAGCCAATCCAATACCAAATAAATTGTACAATTCAGTATATGAGACCAAAAATAGGTGATTAGAACATTAAAAGGACTCATAACTAAAAGTGTCTGAATAAAACTGTCTTCAGACATATTTTAAAATGATGAGAAATGGCACCATCATGCAGACAAGGACAAGGGCTGTGCAAATTCTGAGGACAAAATTTTCTGGCAAAGACAAATTGAAGCTACTAAAAGATTTTTGGATATGCAGTTAAGATGTGTCAAGGGTCCAGATATCAACCACAAGTGGGAACATCTACAAAGAACTATAAGGTAAGAATTAAAACCGCCATAGTACACAATAAGTTCCTTGAATTATTTTGATGTGTAGTAGGCATTACTTTCTCAAACTAATAAAAATGAACAAACTTTAACAAAAAAAGCCTAGATTATGAATTTTGGGGGGCTTTCTTATCAACTTAGACTTCATTTATAGAAAAAAAAAAAAAACTTCCAGCTCATACACAAAATGTTTTCAATAAGGAAAAACTCTGAAAAGTACGATACATTTTGCATAATACAGGCCCTTCAATCAATACAACTTATCTCAAGAACTTTGGTACACTGCCAAATGTAGCAATCTATCTGACAAAAATCGGTGTAAATTCCCTTATAAGAAAACCCATCCAAGACAAGGACAGCCCTAACAACAGTTGTGGGTGTGACGTTGGCAGAGCAGATGAAGGAGAGGAAGATTTGTGAGTGGTGAAGGTTAATGGACATTTTAGTGGAGGTCAGTCAGTGCTGCAGCTGCACTCGCTCCACAGGATCCACACAAGGGTACTCTGAAAGGACTATTAACTGCCTCCTAAATTAGACTGAGATTAATTCATTAACCAGAATTAATTAGCTTGCACAATGTTTAGGTAATGCTTTAACGTGTCCACTATAATGACTAGACAATGTGCGCATATGGAAAATGTAAAGCATTAATTTGACAACTGATGAATGTATGGCTGCAGAAAGATAGTTGGAGATGCTCAATCAAGGTCATGGAAATCAATACTGGCTCCCAAACTGCATTAAACATATGGATTTTGAATGCATTGTTGTATCCTCACAATGTATTGTGCAGCTTTGTCTTCCAAGGACCTTTGTGCACTTCAGTTCTCATTTGAATAGTAGTTTTTGAACAGTCTAACCCTGTTTCACCTTTTCTCCAACTTGTGAAGCTAATTCCATTTTGAAAAAAGAAAAGACCCTCATGATACGGTCCCCAATCAGCATCAATAATTGAACTATACACCAACAATGTCTAATGCAGTTTGAACTTCGGAGACAAATTTCCACTTTAGTTTTATTCCGTGTATAAAATGTCAAGAGTCCCTGTCCCATTGCCACGGCGAGATGGAGCGATGACGCTGGAGCATATGCACTACTGCTCTATGTGACCTGATGTAGAAAAATGTGCCCATAACACTCTGGCTGCCTCCGCTAATCAGTCTACATAAAATCTCCCTCTTCATCCTCCCAATCCTTCACCACTCTAATGCATCTCCCACTCCACTAAACTCGCTCCAAAAACAGGCGAAATATGCTCTGGGAATCCATTTGGGGACTTTGAAATTGTTTCTTTTAGCAAGCAGCCTTACAATCTTAAATAGATTTGTACTTAGCAGCAGCACATTATCTTAAAACCAGACAGGAAACAAAGTGTCCAGAGACTCAAATGGACAAAAGTTGAGTAAAACTTTATTTCTTCTTGGTATGAAAACCAAGGATTTCAGGACTAATATTTTTCTATAGAATATAATGTGATTTAGTGGATGTCGAGTTTTTTGGCCGCCATGTTTATCCAGAGGCACCTGTAACTACACATCTTGCCATAACATTTTGAAGAGTTGTTTGAAGAAACAGCATGGAGCACATAATGCATTACAAAATCATTCAGAAAATAAAAGCCTAAAATAGAGGACTGTTATTGAAATATTCCATTTGGAAGAGAAGTGTGTACAGCTTTCAAGAAGATGATGGGCTATTTGTGAATTTAGAATTATAACTTACTGAGAATACCCATCGTGTGACGGAGAAGAGTTTGTGAGTGGTGGGTATGTCAGTCCGTTTTTTAAGACAATCCATCTGGAGGAAAAGTGGCTCAAGTCTGCTCATCCCCAAAGATTTAGAAAACAAATGCATCTTTCAACTCGGAGTCTGAAGCTGTTTACAAAATGTAATTTGCTCAGGCCTCTAGAGTAGGAAGCAGACTATGGTTACATCAACATACTGTGGAAGAACAAACATGATCAGTATTGGTTAGGATTGTAATGACCTGGATGACATTTTTACATAAAGTAACAACTAGGAAAACATTTAGCTTTCCATATATTGATAATCATTTATCAATATAGCCTCAGCTCAATCATTAATCAATATAGTCTCAGCGCAAGTTAAAATAGGCCAGCATTGAGTTTAATACACTGCAAAAACAAAAATTTTCCCAAGTTAAGATTTCTTGAATTAAAAACATTTTTATTATGATTTGAGTTAATTTCACTTGACAAGGAAATTTATCTACCAGTGGAACAAGACTTTTTGTAATTAAGTGTAGCAAGATGCATTTTCATATTTTAAGAACAAAAAACAACAACTCTTTGAACTTTAAATAAGAAACAAAATCTAATGTTGCTTGAATTAAGAAAAAACACTTATTTCGCTGGTAGATAATTTTACATGCCAAGTTGAATTTACTCAATAAAAATAAAATGTTCTTGATTCAAGTCACTTTAACCTACCTAGAATAAAAATGTATCTCGCTAAGGTAGACTACAGACTATTACAAATCCAGGAAATGAGGTTACAATCATTACTACGAGGCCTTGTGTAAAAGTATTTGAAAATGCTCCATGGGTTTAAGTTAGATTTCAGTTTATGGGCAACAGCAGAATTTTCTGTTTATAATTTATGCATTTTTTTTGTCACATCAAATGACAAAACGCATGTACTTGTCCCTGTGGCGATATCATCATGAGCACTGGTGTAGGCTAACTGTTGAACATAATCTCCAAATCAGTCACTGTGCGTCTCATTCTTCCCTTTAGCCTATCAATATTTCTACACCCAGTTAGTTTCCCTTCTTCACATTTAACAGCCACACTTCATTAGGGAATGCACATATTGCCACAGGCCAGCACACTCCTACAAAGCAGAAAAGTCATTTAATTTCTTCCTCTTTCCTCAAGGCCCGGACTGCAAGTGCTCTTTAAACAAATGGTATTATTATTATGAATAAATAGAAAGTGCAAAATGGATTGCTTCCGGATGCTAGAAGCAATGTTTGGTCATATATCAAAAGACAAAGCACCCATCCACAGAGAACACAGAAATCTATGCAGCATCATCTGAATAACTGTAAATGTTCCAAAAATTTGAAATATTTGCTCATCACTAAACAGAAAAAGGGGATCAAAGGGGATGGAGATACTAAGAGGTTTGATACTATATTTATTAAAACAAATAAATATAGTAATACACACAAAATAATAGCAGTGCTTTACCAAGTGGTCTTATCAGTAGTTATGACGCAGATCAATATAATTCAAAAACTATTCAGGAACATTTTTCTTGTTCAATAGAGTGTCTAGTTTATTATCAGTTAGTATCTGGGTCCTGGTTTGGACAACCCTAGCAACATTGCATGTTCACAATAGGTAATAACAGGGAGACAGTTGATTTTGGCCTGTAGATCATACTAGGCCTGTGGGGAAGGCATTACAGAGCTCTGACCGCAAAGGGAAAAGTTTTCTTGTGGTCTTTGTCAGGTAAAAAGAAGAGAGACGGCTGAAGCATGCCTGCTGGAGGGGAGAAAGAAATCAAATAAGTTGGTGCAGGCGGGCGAGCAGCAGAAGGGCACCAGGGACATCACTGGAGTGAAGTTTTATTAGGTGCCTCTGCCAAGTTTATGGAATACAGTGAGAGAGACAGACACAGGGTGTGTATGTGGCAGATCTCTCCTGTTTCTCCAATGGATCAAGCTCCAAAGACAGGAGACAAAGAGGCGCTCATGTGTTAGGACTCCTCTGAAGATGTGACAAGGATTGTGACACTCCTGTGCCTTTAATCCCACAAAAGCGGGTTATCTTGAAACAAAATTTCTAATATAAAATAAAGAAATGTTCAAACAAAATTGACCTTCACCCTGGATCAGTCACCCTCTATCCCTCTCTCTTGAGTGGACCTTCTACTGGACCTTTTATCCATCTGCAAATTGACACGTGTCAGTCCTGGACACAACTACAGCCTGTCTGCCCATGAGAGTGGCTCTCTCCTTTACTCTGGTTCTCCTCAAAGTTCCTCTTTTTCCACACTGCTTTATTTTTTCTTGCTGAGAAGAAGGGTCTAAGAATGGAAAATGTCCTGTGACAATCAACCATTTGCATGTTTCATGTGAATGTTGGTTGACCTGCTTGTCTTTTATGTACCAATGACAGTTTCACTGCTGATTCTACATTTTTAGACACCTTGCTAGGCAAGTAAAATAACATTCTCAAGGAGGAGACCACTGATATGCACATTTGAGTTGACTTTTCATTTTGATTGATTTTCTGATTTACTTAATTATACATTAATAAAAAAAAAACATTAATCATTCAAATGTATGTGTTTTGTGAACAGTAACAAATTGTAGGAAGCGGATGCAAGGGTTCTCCGGTCCAAAATGTAGTTAAAGTTCAGTTTATTTAGCTTGATTTCCCATTTGCACTGAACACTGACTCAGCGTGTCAAGAAAAAATGTACAAAGTGTTGCATTCACTGACATTTATATGCATGAGAGTTTCTGGATATCACAATACCCTGCTCTTTTTTAGCACTTAAGGAGCTGAACAATCATCAGCAGAAAACAATTGGTAACAACACAAATGCCAAGCACACAATAATAGGTTGGACAAATATGTACACAAATTTGCATTAATTACTGAAGTACAATTGCGGCAACCTAATTCCAAAGAGGCCAGGGCAATCTAGAGTTTCTCAAATTGTTGAATGGACACATTCATACATAATGCAAGTCAATTTAATACTGATATGAGGTTTTATGTATAGCTATTTATATATATATATATATATATTATATATATATATATATATATATATATATATATATATATATATATATATATATATATATATATATATATATATATATATATATATATATATATATATATATATATATATATATATATATATATATATATATATATATATATATATATATATATATAGTATATATATATATATATATATATATATATATATATATATATATATATATATATATATATATATAGATAGATAGATAGATAGATAGATAGATAGATATAGAGAGAGAGAGAGACAGACTAAGAGACTACAGGTTAGCTTGTTGGTAACTACTATAGACTTGCTTCATGGTTGTGACATTTTTAGATCTAGTTAAGACCTGTTTTCTTATTACTTTGAAAGTCAAATGTTTTCTGAAATTATGTGAACACTGTTTATTCAATATTGCATGTCATCAATTTAGCATCATACAAAACAGAAACAGCTAGTTAAAATGGCCAGTTGATAACCTCCTACTTGCACAATACCAACACACCTTTAATGACATCTTTTCTGCAGCGCATTAACTATTGTGCTGTAATTAATGGGATAGTCACGCAGCTCAAAAAGCCGCTCTTCTCTCGGCTGTACACAACAACAAAAGCTTAATGAGTAAACACATTGCGCGTTTCATGAATAAATTATTGGCAGCTCGTAATTAATTTTCTCTATTGAAGATGGAAAAAAAGAGGATGTTACGAGTCTTCATAAATCAAATATGGGAATAAACTGACAGTGATTGTGTGTGTAAAAAAAATATATATATATAATAATGTGTTTATTGTTTATGAAGTGTAGGCTGCGTTAATGCCATTATAAGGTTTCTTATCAAGAGAACAGTTAAGGGGCTTAGGTGTCTTTTCTTTAGTAATATAAGTAAGTAAGTATTGTTGCTCTATTGAAATTATTATCATTATTTTATTTATTTCAGATTTTGTGTAATTTAAATATAAAGATAACATTACAGGACTTGAAATTAAGAGAGACCCTTCACTTGAAAAGATATCATTGTAAACAAGCAAGTTCCTAATTACTTACCCACTAGAAATAAAAGAGATACAAACATACCATGCCTGTGTTTTACTACTCTCAAAATGGCCCTAAATGTAGCATCATCAGCTACAGCTGCAAGATATGAAATTGTGAAAAACTATAAAAACTATAATTGACAGCTTTACCATTCTGACGTTAGAGTGTATGTAATATGCACAATGATACACAATACAAAGTAATACATAGGTAAAACTTACTGATAGTAGCTTCCATGTTATTGGTCGAACTTGTCTAGGGATTCCAGACCAGCTTAGTTTCCGTAGCTCATCTGAAAACCAAGAAAAGGAAGAAAGATTTATTTTATTTTTTTTTTTTTTTAAAGCTTAACCTAAACAAAGAATCCTTTAATAACAAAATCACAAGTGTTCAATATCTGATGAAGTCTATTGAATCAAAAGCTAACTCCATTTATCAAACATTTACGGCATCATAATTCATTCATGGACATTCATCCATCAGTATACCCATCTACAATTTACTGACTGTCACAGCTTCCATCTCATCTTTGTGAAATTATCTGAAGGGAAAGGGCCACAGATTATTAAATACATTCTCTCATGGCCAAGAGGAAGCGCTGGATATAATGTAAAATAAAGTTGGATGGAGAGGTTCAAATTGAACTTTTAAATTGGTTGAAAGCAGCTCCCTTTGGGCCTTTGTAGACTGAGAAAAAATGGCTTAATGCAAGCCACATCGACAGCGGGAGAGTGGGCTGAGTGTCTGCAATAGTCCAAGAGAAATGCTTTGTCTTCTGGCTTTAGTGTGTTTCATTTTAGAACATTTTCAATGAATTAGACTTAATAACTAGGATACAATAAAAAAAAAAAAGGGTGCAGGTTCTCATTCCCTTACTGCAAGACAAGATCATATTCTTAAAAAACTGAAATCACTATTCAGAGCAATGCTTGGTGCATGAATGCCATTCCTGCACAGACAATTATGTAACATGTTATGAACTGATAATGACCCTTGCGTATGGAGTAAAAATATTTTCAGAAATACTGGTGTGCATATGAGAAATCTGTGCATATTTGGGAAATCCATGCATATTTGGCTGTAGTTTAGCATAAAATAAATATTTGTAAACTCACGAACGAGTCCAGTTGTACATAAAATGGATTTGTATATAGTTTTTAATGTTTTAATGTTTGTATCCATCAGCATACACAGCTTATGACATAAAGAATTACAATCACAAAATGAAAATGTACGATTTAGTTGGTCACATACTTGAAGAATGGTAATGTATTAGACAATAGCAATGACAGAAAATTAATGATTTGACTATTGTTTTAATCACGGTGACAGAATTGTAAATAAGGCACTGAATTTCAACATGACAATATCACCAAAATAGCTGCCCCAAAATAAATCATGTTTCCTGTCAGATTCACTGTAACATTGATATTGTGACATCCCTGGATAAAAGTGGAAATCATCTTTAACATAACAGTATTGACTATGGCTGGTCAAATGTTCTTCAAGGCTAAAACAATGGAGAGTGATAGCAAAAAAGGAAAGGGCAATCAGCTTAACAGCAAGAAGCTCCATCCTTTGGCTAAATTGAGTGAAACACATTAAGGCCTGTTCAACCGAAGGGAGTGGCTATTTATTTGGACCAGCTCTTGTGCATCTTCCACTTAAAATTTCCTTTCGCCTTGTCCCTAGTGACTCTAATTATATAGAAATTCAATACAGTGATCTAGTGCTCGGCATGGTTCTGTTGGTTTTTAGAGGGCCAAAGCACTGAAGTAGAGGAAGTTTCGATTACCTCTAGGCTACCTGTGCAAGAGCATTTAAAAACACAGATTAAAAAAAAATCTCTACAAGACCCGAATCATAGTAAGGAACAAAATAAATCTTTTGAAGGGTTTTCTCCCAATGTCTCCTGCACTGTAAAGTACAACTGAAGAAGAAAGCACTGCTCACAAAGCTTCACAGGCTGGTGTATTTGGGGGTAGTGAGGGAGCAGATTAATCTTTCTCTGGAGGAAAGGGAAAACAATGTTACAACAGTGAGAACAAAACCTCACAAAACAGGAATATAAGCTCAGATCTGCACTTTCTTAGCGCTCAGAAACCGTATACGCTCAAATGACATCGCAACATACTACAATCTAGAGCCTGACCGATATATCAGTTGGCCGATATTATCGGCTGACATGGGCACCTGGAAACATATCGGCTATCAGCCGACAAGTTTGCTGATATGGGTCGATATTTCACATGGGCATGATATACCTCATTATAAAGATTAGACTCTCTACATTATGTTCATTTAATCCAATTTACAAACAGATAAATGTCCTAATATGTGGCTCCGAATCAGTATTTTTCTGTGGAGTCATTTGTCTGTGTGTGTGTCCGTACTGTCCCTGAACACACCCCCAGAGTCACGTCACTCACGTGCGTTTGTTTACACCTGCAGCCACAGATCCAAACATTGAGATTATACTCTTTTTATGTACAATCGGTTTGAGTCAGGATTAAAAGGACTTTTATTAGTGCAGACTTGTAATGTGAGGAGGAGCCTGTGTGAGCGGTGAGTGTTAAAAATATGTCAACTTTGAAGCTAGTTTTATTTATTTTTCTCATTGGTTAGCGATTAGCTGCTGTAGCTCCCACACATAAACAGACTGTTTTCTTTTGGCCTACTGTAAAGTGACTATATTGGCCGTATATTTGTTACTGGACCAGCACTGATATGTAAATGAGCTGTGAATAGACATGTGAATTAAGACATTTGTGCATATAATTACTGCGGTGCGCACGCATGTACTGCTAAAGGCTAATAGCGGTAGATTACTTTTTTTACTAGCTAGTAGTGATGGGCCGGTCCCGAAAAAAACGGCTCTTAGAGCCGGCTCTTTGAAGCGAACGATGGGAGCCTGCTCCTTCTTGGGAGTCGTGTTTTCTCTTTCTCTCACTTTTTTTCCTTCAGCCAGCTGCTTTTAGTGAGCCGAGCCTAAAGAGACGGTTCTCTAAAAAGAACAGGAATACCCATCACTGGCAGCTAGAATGTGCTGCAAAAATGCCATTAGGCCAACCTACTGTCTGTAAATATGACGCATCACTAAATATATCGGCGTTTATATCGGCTATCGGCAGCTCCAACTCCCATTTTATCGGTATCATATCGGCCACAACAAAATCCATATCAGTTGGGCCCTACTACAATCCCTATAATAATTATGTGGAGAAATTTGGTGTTAAGCAAATCAGATTGCAGATTTGTTGCCCTGTTTTTTTAAGATCTCTGTACTCACTGGACATATCCACATGAAATAAATGCTGTCACAAAGTCCAATGTTTTCTGTCTCAAATTAAAAAAAATAAATAAATAAAAATCTTCAGAGACTGGTGTCATTATTCAACCCAAAGACAAAATAGTAGTCAGTTGAAAGGACTTAAAAACAAAAGGTTAACATGGCAATTCTGGGGAGCCACTCACTTCAAGAACTGTGAATAATACATTTAGATATTTATTTTTAACAAACTGAATCGACCACATACAGGCCCCTGCCCTCTATCTGAAATTATGGCATTATCAAATTCTAGAACGTGAACACAACCTATCGCCATAAAAGTATAATAGGGTATATATCAGAAGACTGAATCATTATTGGATATACCATTGCATGACAATGCATTCTGCAATATTTCCAGAAATTCGAGTTTAGACTAAAACACAATTGACATCAATATATAATTCAGGTCCTAAACCGTTTCAGAGGTTGTCCAGCTACTATCACAAAATGTTGTGGAGTAGTCTCTTTGACAGCAATAGATGAGGCACACAGAGGATGCTTAAAAACATACACCAGATTTTTTTTCCCCCCATTTCAATATAGATGGCCTCATTTACACCCCTCTCAAACCACCTGTCACCCCTGTCAAAAACGTGGACATCCTGGTTCCGAAAGCTTGGCTGATTTTTCTGTAGATAAGTGCTGTCCTGAGGAGTTGGGCCGTCAGTGTGATACATATGTCTGCAAAGAGGCTGCCGGGTCTCTCTCCTATATGTACAGCTCTCTACAACTCCCTTGACTGCACAGGACTACAGACATATTATTGCAATGGTGTTTGAAAGGATGGCCATTTGGATACCAGTGGCTGTCTAATTAAGGGTGTGATGGTTCTGCAACCTCTGCAAGATACAAAATCACCATCAGCAATTACCCTATCAACAAGATTGGAAATGTCAATATTCAGTATATTTGTTCGTAGGATTTCACATTTAATTAAATTTTCAAATAAGACTGTGCACATATGTAGCGATCCCAGATTAAAGAGAGCATGTTTACGTGACCACCAATATGCAATCAGAAAAGCATTTAATTGCTTAGTATTGACCAATACTGTAAGCTGTAGCATAGTGCTGTTCAATCTTTAGTAAAGGCATCTGTTTTGAAAAAATAAAAATAGTATGTTTTTAATATAATATAATTCATACACAATTTCTACAACATACACAAACACAGACTGTAATAACCTGTCTAAAGAAACACATCTTTTCATCTCAGCCGTCGGTGTGTGTAAATGTTCTTGTTCATATCAGGTGTTAAAGCCCTATTAAATCTGTACTGAAGTCGTCTTCTCATTACGCACGTGGAGAAGGGCAGTCAGGGCGCTGTGCAAATCTTTTTCAACTAAATCCCTATCTTTAAGGGTGAAATCGTTATCTCTGGCTTCATTCATTATGGCTAGTCAAGGGTGGCTCTTGCCTTGCACCCTTTGAACCTTCATTTGCACTGTCAGGCAAAGAAATGAGTCCATGAATCTTGTGGGCTCTGGCTTAATTAAACTATGTTATACTTGTCCCACCTGGCATTAATCTCACCATAGGGGGTAAAGGGAGGAGGGGTAATGGAGGGGACAAGTTAGATAATAGTCTTTACATCCCAATGCTGCTGCAACATGTAAAAATGCTGCATCTGCTTATGGTCACTAGATTCATTTCAAATTTTTGATCACCAAAATATTTCATATACATTCTTTGAATGTACACTATGTAACTTTTCTGGTGAAAACTCCACTCTCACTTATCTCCATGGAGACGTTATTGCTTTGCCTTCGGAGGTTCAATTTGATTTTGGCATTACATTATTCGGTAGTATTCAATTGTTTGTTTTTATTGCCCAAAATTACCTTGAAAAATATGCATTCTTTACATGTAAGCAAGGTCACTGCTCCACAGAGCTGTTGGAGATAGACCAGTTCAATGCCCTACTGTGGGCAAACAATAACCTCTCCATGGATATGTGCAGAT